TTCGCCCACTCAGTCTTCTTTGTATCCGTCAACTGCTATTTCTTGCTGCCTTTTGTCTTTGCTTTGGTTTTGCTTTTTGAGACAGCGAGCTCTAGCTATGTCACCCCCGCAGGTGGAGTGCAATGGTCGTGGGGTCTCTGCCCACCTGAGCAGAGAGGAATGAGCCCATTCCCTCCTGCTCCAGCCTCCCAAGGTAGCTGGGATTAGCAGGTGCCTGCCAACCACGCTTGGCTACATTTTTTTATTTGGTAGTAGAGATACGGGTTTCACCATGTCAGTGCCTCAGCAGGCGGGTCCGAACTCCTGACCTCAGGTGATCTGCCCACCTCAGCCTCCCATGGTGCTGGGATTACAGACAAGAGTCACCGCACCCGGCCAGAAACAGGAAAACTCTCAGCTGCAGCACTACTGACCTTTGGCATCCTGTGCACTGAGAATGTTCAGCAACATCCGTGGCCTTCGCCAATTTATGTACGCAGAATAATAGCCCCCTAAAGATGTTCACCCCCAATCCCTGCAACCTGTGAATATTTATGCCACATAGTAGGAGGGAATTAGGCTGTAGATAAAATGTTTTCTTAGAGGCAGTGTCTCACTATGTTGCCCAGGCTGATGTGTACTGGCTATTCGCAGGCATGATCCCACTACTAATCGGCACAGGAGTTTTGACCTACTCTCTTTCCAAACTGGCCCAGTTCACCCCTCCTGAGGCAACCTGGTGGTCCCCTGCTCCCAGGAAGTCACCATATCGAGGCCAAACAGTGCAGACACCTGGTTGACATAGGCCGCTATATCCTCAGAACTCCTGGACTCAATCTTCCTGCCTTGGCCTCCCGAGTAGCTGAGACTACATGTGCGCACCACCGCACCCGAGAATGTAAAATTAAGGTTGCTAATTAGTTGGCTTTTTTTTTTTTTTGAAACGGAGTCTTGCTCTGTCACCCAGGCTGGAGTGCAGTGGCGCAATCTTGACTAACTGCAACCTTTGCCTTCTAGGTTCAAGCGATTCTCCTGCCTCAGGCTTCCAAGTAGCTGTAATTATAGGCGCCCACCACCATGCCCAGCTAATTTTTGTATGATTAGTAGAGATGGGGTTTCACCATGTTGGCCAGGCTGGTCTCAAACTCCTGACCTCAAGTGATCTGCCTGCCTCAGCCTCCCAAAGTGTTGGGATTATGGGCCTGACCCACAGTGCCCGACCTAATTTTTTTATTTGTAGTACAGACGAGGTTTTATCATGTTGGTCAGGCTGGTCTCGAACTCTTGACCTCAGGTGATCTTCCCACCTCGGCCTCCCAAAGTGCTGAGATTTCAGGCGTGAGCCACCGCGCCAGGCCAGCTGGCTTTAATAGAAGCAGATTAGCAGCCAGGCGCGGTGACTCACACCTGTAATCCCAGCACTTTGGGAGGCCAAGACAGGCGGATCACCTGAGGTCGGAAGTTCACCCTGACCAACATGGAGAAACCCCGTCTCTACTAAAATTACAAAATTAGCCAGGCACGGTGGCACATGCCTGTAATCTCAGCCACTTGGGAGGCTGAGGCAGGAGAATGGCGTGAACCTGGGAGGTGGAGCTTGCAGTGAGCCGAGATCGCGCCACTGCACTCCAGCCTGGGCAACAGAGTGAGACACCGTCTCAAAAAAAAAAGAAAAAGAGAAAAAAAAGAAAATAATTATAATAATAATTAGGGCTGGGCCCGGTGGCTCATGCCTATAATCCCAGCACTTTGGGAGGCTGAGACAGGCGGATCACAAGGTTAAGAATTCGAGACCAGCCTGGCCAACATGGTGAAACCCCATCTCTACTAAAAATACGAAAATTACCCAGCCATGGTGGTGCGTGCCTGTAATCCCAACTACTCGGGAGGCTGAGGCAGAAGAATCACTTGAACCTGGGAGGCAGAGGTTGCAGTGAGCCGAGATGGTGCCACTACACTCTAGCCTGGGCGACAGAGCAAGACTCTGTCTCAAAACAATAAACAATAAAAAATAAATAAATAAAATAAGGCCGGACACAGTGGCTCACGCCTGTAATCCCAGCACTTTGGGAGGCTGAGGTGGGCGGATCACAAGGTCGGGAGATCGAGACCATACTGGCTAACATGATGAAACCCCGTCTCTACTAAAAATACAAAAAAATTACCTGGGTATGGTGGTGGACGCCTGTACTCCCAACTACTTGGGAGGCTGAGGCAGGAGAATGGCGTGAACCCGGGAGGCGGAGCTTGCAGTGAGCCAAGACTGCGCCATTACACTCCAGCCTGGGCGACAGAGTGAGACTCCCTCTCAAAACCAAAAAAAATAAATAAATAAAATAAAATAATTAATGTTGTCAAGGCAACATACATTATAAATCAAAGGCTGCTTGCTATAAGGAAGAGAACAAAGCTATCCCTGCCCACCTTTCACACACTGGTCCTGCTCTCCAGAGACAGCTGCTTCAAACTCTTTTAGCTGTTTCTTCTAGTATTTATCTCCAGATGTTTGAATCATAACCGTAACTGCTATTTTTTTTTTTTTTTTTTTTTTTTTTTTTTCTAAAACCATGTTTCAGTCTGAAATGTTTTCTGACTTACCTTACATTTCACTAGTTCTCATTTCAGATGTGCCCCATTCATATAATTCTTTT